TGACTCAATAGAGTCTATATTTTAACAAAACAAGTGGAAAAGTATAACTATAACATTCGACTTACATTCACTGCTCTGCTTTCAGTCGTAAAGTATTTTGTATGTGGTTAAAAGTAATGCCGCACTGAATTTAAGACGTTGGATTAAATTCTTTATTTAAATGAATAAAATAATTAAAAATGTCACAAGACTTGGGATTTCAGAAAATAATTTAGTCACGAAAGACTAAAATGGAAATTACATAGTCATCCAACACTATATGAAAATTAAAGGTCGCGAAAAACCCGAAATATCGCCTTAATAGGTCGATAATAAAATTGGAACTGTGTCCAAAAGAAACTGGAGTATACTAACTCTCAGATATGTGCTACTACTACTACTGTAGCGATGACTACAAAATGCAATCGGAACTGTAACTGTCGTGCTGCTATCGCGCACAAGTCTTTATAGTTTATCTAGGAGGGTGTGTCCTCAGAATGCATAGGGAAATTTCGGGGACCAATTACAAATGACTCTAGCCGAAATTTCCCACTCCAGTGGTTTGAAATCTCCTTGTTTCGAGATCAACTCCATCTCTCTACATGAAGATGTTTTTGGGGTGTAGGCGGTCTTTTCTATTCCCCAACAACCAATGAAAATTGTTTTAGGAATGCCCATATATTCCCTCCACAATTCTCTTTTATCTCTTATTTTCAACTTAGCGTTAACATCTTTGTTATTTAATTTTTTTGAAACAATTCAGATAAATTTCATGAAATTTTATGATAAATTATAATTCATTGAAGAAAAATAGTAATCTAATAGTAATTCAATAATAATTCAATGACATAAAAATATTGTTTAAACTTTAATTATTTTGTGGTTTTCCACGTTGATAATATTTCTTAAACAATTATGATAGTTTAATTAATATCCGAAATGGAAAATTATTCATAAAAGAATCATTCTGTTGTATGATGCATTTTACTATTTTTGTGTCACATGTTCGTCAATGTTTATGTCATTTCCTCCATGTGGGAAACGAAATCGTTACTCTATTTTTATATCAAATATTTGTCGTGGGAGTTACAAAATTTGGACCCACGCTTAGAATTTGTTATCAACAGTTTTCCGGTTCAAGAGTCCAGTGTTTATTGAAATTTATGGTCACACGTGGAAAGTGCATGACTAAGGAGACGAGACTAGACTCAAATGTTTACAGTGCATCTGATATTGCACAGCTGATATCTCCTCAATCTAGGAGAAACTCGACGTTGGGAACATTTTTATCGTTCACAGATGTGTGCAGCCGAAATATTCCTAACATCGAGGGGGTCACTTTCCCCGGTCACAGAAGATAATTTGGGTTTCAAAAGTCGCTTCTATCACTGAGATAATTGAATGACGACGTAAGAAAATGAATTTAAATGAATTTTCTGACGGATGTCACACCCCCGCAGTTAGACGGAAGTACGAGTGACATTAGAGAACGAGAACGACGTAATAAAAAAAAATGAAATAATCTTATTTCTATCTAATAAGAGACAGTCTTTAAATCTTACTTGTCTAATTACAAAATTTCGTAGACTTGAAGTTGAGAGCCTTTCATCAGAATAGAGGATGTTGTTGTTGTGTAACACAGTAATGCAGCTGTCGTGGTCTTCCTTCTTCAGGGTCAAACGAAGTGTCTTACTTCACTATCATTGAGAGGTTTCTCAATGTGTGGATAAATCTTCTCAGTTGCTCCATCGCTTGCTGGAGCAGAAGCTTCGATAAGTCCCAACTCAACGTCCTTGCGCTCTGGATTTCTTGCCTGCTTAGCCATATGCAGTAGTAGATTCGTAACAGAATCCCAAATTGCTCCTAACAAATGGATAGACCATCCATAAACCATGTGAAGCGTATAACCGTGGATAATGGTATCCACGAGGAGTTTCAATATTCGAATCAGCATGAAAACTCCGATGAATCCAGCGCTGATGGAACCGAAACTGATAAATCGGCCCCATGTCTTCTTCCACGTACTTTCAGCCAGTTTTTCCAAAGCATTCTCATCGAAAATGTTGAACATCGATGGTGATGCGTAGTGAGACCCATTACTTGAGACTTTTTGGGCGATCTGGTTGAGAACTGCTGTGTTCTCCATCGGGAACATAATGCGATCGCGCATTTTCTCCAGTTCTTCTTCACTATATATCCCGCTGGTTGCTAAATGACTAGGATTTTGGTATTTCCATGTCACCTTAACGTTGGGTTTGATTTGGATTGGTGGCAGCATTTCAATTGCGTGTGGCATCAATTTATACCAAGTATCAGCAAGACGATAGAACTGAAGTAATGGAGAATTACAAGGGATTTGTGTCGCCTGTGTTACAACAACATGGGTACATGGTGTTAGGAAAACGCTCTCATTTCCTCGTTGTACTGGTAGACGATTATAACATTCTTCTGTTTTCCTTACTTTTAATTCTACTGGTACACATTGAACTAAGTGAATAACTTCACCAGCTAACACCGCCATGTAACCTGGACCTTTCATAAATCTAAATGCAAATTCATCAGGCATAGTCGATGCAATTGCCAAGCTATTTCTCAAAATCTCTCGTTCCAGATTACATTGGTGGCGCAAGACATCTCTGTACAATCCATGCACTTGAGATCTAATATATCTTTCTACATAAACAAATTTTGCATTTACATACATAAGTAAATCCATATTGTCGGTATTTAATGAAACCGCAACATTTCGTGAAAAATCTGCAATATTGCTTGTTTCAATGATGAAAATTTTCGGATGTTCCGTCTTTATTAGATTCAAACCGCACGCGTTATCAACACCTTGTTTCGTAAAAGTGAAGCTAACTTCCTTTACATTGACAGAATATAAAGTATCATCTCTTGAGGTTATTTTATTTACCAGGCCTTTATGAAGAATAGAAAATAAACCTGTTTCACAATGAGATGTTGAGGGTAATGTTTCCCAGAATGAATATCCTCCAATTGGATCGATACATTTATTGTCTCTTAACCTATAAGCATGACCGGAGGATAGGTAAATTTTTCCATTATCTACCTCTACTCTAGCCATATCTGATCTCAGTGAGATTCGAACAACACCCAATACAACGACGTTTTTGTATGAATCAAAAGGGTCCGAATATTGGACTCCATCACAACGACCGTCATTGTTTACAGTACCTGCTAAAGTGACACTTCTAGTGGTTGTTGTGTTGGGTTGAAGTCCAGTAATTAAAGTATTACCGATTGTTATGGTGCCATGGTCATGGGCAACCTTGCACGCATCTTCTGAGATATACTGAATATATTCAGCATGTGCATTGTCAACAATTGAGACATGGGAGTGCATGCCACAATGGTAGACAGTACGACTTACTTCAATTTTACATTGAAGTACTCTTGTATGAGTATATTTGTCCAATTGTATCATATAAATATGTGTTTTAGAGGTCGTTACCTCTTCATCCTCGATATCGCAATCATCGATATCGAGTAAGGATATGGTCGTAACATTGAGCGCATTACTACCACAGTCGTACCCAATTATTGCAGACACTGAATTCCACATTACTATCAGTATCATAATCTTTAAAAGAATCATCTTTTCTGTGAATAAGAATAAAAGGAATTAATTTATAACCTTACACAAATAAAACATAAATTAAGAATGTTTTCTTTATGGTGTATAATCAGAATCGGAATCACTAGATCCATCTTTTCTTTGTTTTTTCTTGATTTTCTTTTTATCATTATATCTACTGTCAATCATTTTTGATATTTTCAATCTATTTGGATGAACAATTTTAAACTTGTTTTTTATTGCAATTTTGACATTTCCATCTGGCAGAATTTCTAAAACTTTGAAAGGACCATCATATTGGTCACCTAATTTTCCTGGTCTTGGTCCACTTAATAAAAAGACATTATCACCCTCTTGAAAATTCACAGGGTTGATCTTTTGATCATAATAATGCTTTGATCTATATTTGGAATTAATCAAATTTTCATATGCCAATTTTCTAGTCTGTGATAATCGTTTTACCAGATTTTCAATATAATTATCATAAGTAGGCAATTTATCAAGTTCATGTAACGGTTCTTCGGAAGGAAGCCGAGCCGTTTTACCGAATACCAATTCGTATGGAGTAAATTTGGTACCTTCATGAACACACGTATTGTAAGACAACATAGCAAGATCAATCCATTGATCCCATTCTGAATCCACAGTGGCATACTGTTTTAAGTATTCGCCCAATACATGGTGTGAACGCTCCAACGATCCATTCGATTGTGGATGGAATGCAGTAGTTTGTAATTTTTTTATTCGAAATCGCTTATTAATTCTTCGCATCATGGCGCTTATAAAATTTCGACCTTGATCAGTTAAACAAACTTTCGGAGAGCCGAAGACGCAAATGAAACGTTTAATGAAAGCATCCGCTATTGTCTCCGCTCTTTGATTCTCCAATGGAATTGCCATTGAATATTTAGACAATTGATCTTGAATAGTTAAAATACACTCATTATTATTTACTGTTTTGGGCAAAGGACCTACAATATCCATCGCAATTTTATCGAAAACCGTGCCAGGTGTATCTGTAATTAACATCGGTTGTTTAGTTTTAACGCGGACTAATTTTTTTAATTGACACTCCGCGCATTGTTGAATACGATTTTGAACATCTTTCTTCAAATTTTCCCAATAATAACTATTTTTTATACGATTAAATGTTTTTGATACCCCTTTATGACCTCCAATAGGTGAAGAGTGCATCTCATAAAAAATTGCATTTCGTTTTTCAACAGGTACATATTTTACCGTACCAAGACAAATAATAACTTTGATATTTTCATTTATGAATGTTTCCTCAATTGAAATAAGAATTTCAGACCATGGAATATTATTTACATATTTAGAATATGCAATTGAAATAGTTTCAATTTTATCTTTCTTCAAAAGTTCTTTCAGATTGTTTAAACTTTCGCAAAAATATTTTTTTACTGTGAGATTAGATTCCCCACTAGATCCTTGAATAATAGCGGCAAAATGGCAATTTTTGCCAATTCTTTGTTTATAAATCCCACCTAAACGTGTGGTTTTAATGGTGGGTAATTTATTTAATTTTTTAAATTCTTTAGCACCTTCATCAACAGGTTCACCATCATCTGAGAGGAAATATAGAATATTATCTTTACGATAAATAATTAATTCTTTGGAAATAATAATGGGAGATTTATTTTTTTTTAATTCTTCAATTTCAGAATGTTCAGATCTAGAGTCCGAATCATCTGTTTCCGTTTCATCACATGAATTGTTTACTCTTAAAGACAAAGAGTTTTCTTTTTTTTTATCATAATTAATTCCATCATTAACATCCAATACAAGCTTTGGTGGTCTACCCCTTTTTCTTTTTATTGTTGAAGAGCAAAATGGAATTTCACCACTAAATTTATTAGGAATTTCACCTTTTACTGAAATTTTGGGAATTTCACCCTCATAATAAGCCGGAATTTCACCGTTCAAAATATTGGGAATTTCACCCTCATAATAAGCCGGAATTTTACCGTTCAAAATATTGGGAATTTCACCCTTTAGTTTCTTTGGAATTTTACCATTTTTTGAAACATTTTTATTAATTATTTTTTCGTCATCTGATTCATTCAAAATATCAAAAATTTCTTGCAACTCAGGACTGAGCGGTTCCTCAGCCCTTTTCTTTTGAGCGCGAGTAATGACATTGACCGTTTCAACCGGATTACGTGATAATGCATCCGCATTTAAATTAATTTTTCCCGGTTTATACACGACATCATAATCATATTCTGCTAATTTTAATCTCCATTTTAAAATTCGTGTATTAACTTCCTTAGCAGTCCTAAACCAAACCAATGGTTTATGATCAGTAACCACAGTGAATTTATGACCATAAACATATGGTCTAAAATTTCTCACTCCCTCTAGTATTGCTAATGCTTCTTTTTCATAAGTGTCATAGCGAAATTCGGCACCTCTTAGGACTCGAGAGTAATAGGCAATAGGTTTATCTTTACCTATTTCCCCCTGCGAAAGAACTGCGCCAATAGCTAGACCAGAAGCATCAGTCGTAATTATAAAGGGTTTTGAAAAATCTGGGTACTGCAAAATAGGAGCTGTACATAGAGCTTCCTTGAGAGTTTGAAAAGCTTTTTCAACTTCTGGGGACCAATCAAACTCTACATCATTTTCAAGCAATCTTGAAAGTGGTTTTGCAATTTTTGAAAATTTTTTAATAAAACGCCTATAATATCCGGTTAATCCGAGAAAAGAACGAATATTTTTTTGTTTTTTAGGCTTTGGAAAATTTTTAACCGCGTCTAACTTTGAAGGGTCAGGTTTCAAACCTTCGTCACTGATAATATGACCCAAATAATTTACTTCCGGACGCAAAAATTCGCATTTGTCCGGTTGTAATTGGAGATTCGCTTTTCTTAAACGTTGCATTAGTGCTTCAATACGTTCTTCATGCTCTTTTAAATCTTTCGCAAAAACAATAACATCGTCAAGGTAAACAAACATTGACGTACCCTGCAATCCAGACAAAACCGTATCCATTAATCGTTGGAACGTTGCTGGTGCATTTTTTAAACCAAAAGGCATTCGGTTAAATTCCCAATGACCTTTCGGAGTAGAAAAAGCAGTTTTATAGCTGTCTTCTGGATGCATCTTAATTTGATGATATCCAGAAGCCAGATCAAATACAGAAAAGTATACAGATTCCCCCAATTGATCAAAAATATCAGTGATATTAGGGAGAGGATAAGCATCTGTAATCGTTTTTTCATTCAATTGACGAAAATCGATGACAACACGCCATCGTTTATTACCCTTAGAATCGGGTTTCTTTGGAACAACCCATACAGGACTATTATATGGGGATTCTGATGGCTTAATTATTCCTGTTTCATAAAGTTCTTTAATTTGTTTATCAACCTCTTCTTTAGTAGAGTGAGGTAACCTGTATTGTTTAGATGAAATAGCAAGATCTGAATTTACAGGAATTCTATGTTTATAAACATTAGTCGATCCAAGAGGTTCACCAGGTATGTGAAACCTGTCAGAATATTTTTTTATCAATTTTTCAACATGTTTTTTCTCTTTTCCTCCTAAATGGTCCAATCTTAATAATTCGCTAATTTTTTCAAATCTATCTTTATTTTCAATTTCTCCTACGTGAGAAACAATTTTTTTCACAACATCAGAATAACTACGCTTATCATCATCAAGTTGATTATCCCGATCAATTGGTTCAAGTACACTTTCACATTCATGTATTGTTAAAGTTGGTATTTTAATTCCAACTTTTTCATATGTGGTATTATAAACACGCATGTATGCACGGCCCTGGTGATTACGCACCAAACAATCTCCTGCATACACACCTTTGCAAATTTTTAATCGAGGGACGTAGCCCTCTTCAACTTCCTTATTTTTAATTCTAATGAAGAATGCTGACTCACTGCGAGGAGCAATGTATCGAACATTATCTTCAACATAATCAATCTGTTCAAAAGGGTATTTCTTCCCATTAATTTCCAAATAACGATTCCCATAATCAATTTTCGCCCCCGCGGTTTTAAAGAAGTTACAACCCAATAACCCCGCGTAAGGAATTTGCATGTCATCGGANTTTAATTTTTTAAATTCTTTAGCACCTTCATCAACAGGTTCACCATCATCCGAGAGGAAATATAGAATATTATCTTTACGATCAATAATTAATTCTTTGGAAATAATAATAGGAGATTTATTTTTCNATTTCTCGTTTATTTTTATTATATCCAATTTTTAAAAACGGAATATCATCGTTATTTTTAAACTGTACAGAAATTACAGGGAGTCGTCGCTCAATTCCGCTTCCTGAACCATTGTTATCGGACGCTGAGTGAATGCATCTTTCCCCGCGCCCTTCTGGAAAGATGACCTCTGGTTTCCCGAATTTTTGGATACCAAGAATAAACAATTCTCCAAAACATGTCCTGTTCGTTTACAATAACGACAAGTAACATTAAAATTATTTTTGCTCGATCCACCCTTGCATTTATCAGCAGTGTGGCCAAGATTATCAAACAATTGACACTTATTTTGATTTTTTAGAGGATTTCTATTCAATGAAAAACAAGTTTTCGCAGTATGATTTCTTTTCTTACAAATTTGACAAAATAAGTTACTAGAGTTTTGATTTCCAATACGAATAAAACATGTTTTTGCAGAATGACCCCGTTTATTGCAAATTTGACACACGGAATCAGAGTGATTGGCATTATTATTATTATTAGGGAAATTTCCACGATGATTTGGAAAATTGTTACCACTTTGATTATTATTTTGATTATTTTTATTTTGATTACCATTCCGAAAATTTTGACGATTAAAATTATTTTTTTCGTTTTGATTAGATTTCATGAATTTTACGGGTTTTTGACTAACGACATTTACATCACTTTTTTTATTCTCTTGATTTCGCGGCCGTTCCCCACGTAATTCACTTTTCGCGAGCAATTTTCGTTCAATTTCAATCGCTTTTTCATAAGCATTAGTCATCGAGGCACAAGCTGGCATACGTTGATCAATATCAGGCTTCAAACCTTGTAAAAAACACTGTTTAATATTTTCATCTACTTTATCTTTTACCGCTTTTAAATGGTCTGCTGAATGCGTTGGATTATTTACTTTAAACAACTCTACAATTTCTTGACCTTTTTTTCTCAATTTATTTGCAAAATTGACAACAGAATCTGAATCTTTTTGAAAAATAGAGCCTAATTCACCTTGCAATTGCCATTCTGT